CCCCCCCCCCCCCTATTCTTAAAAAAAAGGAAAGGGAATCGTTATAGAACCCATTTTTCCTTAAAACTGCATGGTAATCTTCATCTTAACTTATCACCAAAGTTCAAAAATGAAACACAAAAAAAAAATAGTAAGATGATCCAAGGATCATTATAGAACCCCTAAAAGACAAAAAAGAACAAGTTTAAGTGGAGAACCTTAGTGTATTCTGTCAATCGTATTCTGAAATGACACAAGTCACCATCTCCAAAGAAATTAACAGAATTTGTAGAAGCATGTCCTACTAGAGTAAGGATAGCAGCAATGCTTTTATCAGCAAACTTAGAAAAGATGCAGCATCTTTTTTTCCCTGAAACATTAACCAAATTATGTAATAATATAGGCAGCTGCCTCATCAAATAGGCAAAACATCACTACATCAATTCAACTACAATACAGAGAAAATTGAGTATACCAGCAGCAAACCATAGTGGCAAAAGGCTAATGCGGATCTGTTTGACAAAGAATTAAAATATTAGGCAAACTAAACTCCCACAATCAGAAAATTTTAGAGAATTACATGATGCCAACTAATCTCAAAAAGATGCAAAAACAGTGAGAAAAAAAAATCAAAAATGAAATTTTCACTAGGTTCTCTAATTTTTCTTTCGACAATTGTGAAAGGTAATAAACTGCAAATTGACTCTAATATTTTTTTTTTTTTTGGGGGGGGGGACATGGGAAGGGGAACGGGGAGGGGGACTTGAACCCTTGACCTCAAGAAGGCAAAGCCTTTACAAGACAAGGAGTACTATTGGACCAAATGCCCATTATTCACTCTAATATAAAAGGACAGGGTGTGATTTAATTGTTTCATATCTTACTGTGATATTGCTTACATCAATATCTTTCATCTTCAGTACAGGAAAAAAATCTTTTTTCTTCAATTTTGGTTTGAAGATGATTACCGATTCTCAAATTGATTTTCTCTTCAAGTTCTTAAACACTTTTTACCAGGAAATCTACATCTATAAACAAATCATATCTGGAAATCTACATCTATCAAGTTCTTAAACCACCAAAAGGTAAAATATCTCCAGAATTCTACAATTGGGCATCTTGGGTCACTTTTAACCACTTACTGGTTTTATAATATATACCAAATCCCCCTACACCTTGCCCCCTTACTGATTTCATAATAATCTTCAAAAACTTATAAGAAACACAAGTTAGAATTGATTTCCATCAGTTGTGCTCAAATGTTTGGATAATATGTTTTCAACACTTCAAGCGCAACTGGAAAAATCCAGAAGAATGGCCAGAAAGAAAGATTCTCACCATCAAGAAAGTAACATCCAAACTTGAACCGTGGTGTGATGCAGCAACAAAATAGGAAACACTGTTAGAGTTCCTCTAGTTATTTTATTGACACTAGATCTAAAATTATTTTTGCCCTCATAAAAACATCTGTTTACTAGTATACACTGCTTTTGCATGTGGGTAGGTATCAAGTATCAACCTACATTAGAGTGGTGGTCCACATATTCCATCTCAAGTTTGATCGGTTTCAATTAAACCACAAGCACACAAATACTAGGACATGATCCTTCTAATGCAATACTGTTAACCTACTAGAAGCAGAGTTAAGACATCGCTTGTAGTATTATCTTAAACCCAAGGATGCATACCATACATGAAGATATTAATACCAATTTACCCTCTGACTTAAAAGATTTGTTGCCTTATTTTTGGCATGTTTGATGCATCTGACCCTAATCTGTCAATGTTAACCGTTGAAAGAAGCATATGATCAACTGAAATTACTTTACTTGATCCTTTTCTTTCTCTCTGACAATGCCATCATGTTATTCCTCATTACCCGTGTGTGTGTGTGTGTGTGTGTAGAGAGAGACAGAGAGAGAGGCTTCCACATAAAGTACTATAGTTTCTCACATAGGCATTGGCACATATCCTCCATACCTGTTTAAAAATGCAACTGCGATCATCTTCATTGCTGCTCAAGCTTTGTAATCGTTCTTTGTTAGAAGCAAGCCAAACCAGAACAGCGTCACAAAGATGCTTCTCACTGCAAAGGATAACTGCAACATCAGCATTGCGTTCAGAGTACACAAAGTGTATCAGGCTATTCAATAGGTTGAAAACTTGCCTGTCCACAGTCAACTGGAGATGCTTTATGCAAGAAACAAATAAGTCACATGGAACATCGCTAAAAGAGTCACTGCACACGGCCCACATCTGCACAAAAAAACTGTCATACATTAGATTCCACAACAAGAAACAAGATGATGCACAGTGAAGCACAAATATAACAGCCTTTTGTAGTTCACTTTGTCTGTGTCCATAATCATTTCAGTGCTACTCATGGCCAAATAGGTCTTTGTCCAATCAACTTATCCTACAGTTTCATTGTGTGACACAAGAATTTTTTTAGCTTCAACTACTCTGGCAAACTGATTCTCAAAATGGTTTGCATGTAAAAACTAACTCGTGGATGCAGTGCAGTGTATCATGGATGGGTAACACTATGGTACGAAGGAGGTACCATACAAAAAGTTACAAGTAAATAAGGACTAATTACACAGGTCAAATTACAACTCAATGGGTCAAGTTACGACCAAAAAAAAGGGTTTAGGATTGATTCTCAAATGTTAGATCGATCCTAAACAGATTCATGTACTCCACCTGATTGAGTCATAGCCTCAACCTATATTTGTAGTACATTAGATATGGTACCTCCTTCGGTGCCATAGCTTACCCACCACAAACACCTCGCAGAAAAAAAAAGTTATTGATCATGTCCCACTATACTGATACAGCCATAAAACTCCTTGATATGTGTTGGAAATACCAATAATGTAAGTTGTGCTAGAGAATAATTAATCAAACTCCTAATCTAATGCCTCAGAGCATGCCACTTTTCATTCCATTCAAAGTTCATCATCTCAAGCTGTCCAAAGTAGAAAGGATTATTGGCCTTTGGATCATAGCAATCAAGCTGTGTTTGAGGAGAAATGTTATATACTATGATGGTAAGAATCTATCTATTGCTTCAAGGAAACTACGATGCAGTAGGCGGTATTGTTTTGAATGATTGTGAGTGGAACAATGAAACCAAGTTGTATATAAAAAGCATTTATGCAACTGTTTTTATCAGCTATAGGCATTCCCACGCATTGTCTCAAACAAGAAGACCCTACCATTCCCTAGATCCATTAGCAGTGAGCCAGTAACACATAGTTTAGATATGTGACAATCCAATATCCACATGAATGGGGGAAAAAGAAAGAGGGGTAAAATACAAGTTCCATTTATGCTATTTATTTGGATCATACGTAAATAATAGGCATACAAGCTGGTCAACAGCCATGTAAAAGTTAAGCACTTACAAAGTTCCTCGCAAGATAGCTCGTGCACAGTTCTGGAATAAAATCATTTGCTGCAACATATTCCACTTTCATCTATAAGACTAAGTATAATGATGTAATGTTTACATCAAACACAGAGTAAAACAACAATGATTCTGACAATTCATCAATCCTAACAAACCTCAGGAATTATAAATAACCTTTACCATGCTCCAGACCAAACTTCCAAATATGGATCAATTCATGCAATTGTAATTGCAGTGACGATAGTCCCTTCAATGATGTAACCTCGGTCAACCAAATCTTACACTTCAACAGAAGCATCTCCACTCCAAAAAATAGTGCTGCCTAAAACATAAAGCAAGCATTTTCAGAAAACATTTCCACCTAGCGCTTCATCTGGAACATCTACAGGTTAACAACAAGGTGAGAAAAGACAAAATGGGAAGTTCAATTAAAAAACACATGTCAAAAGTTTCTTAAGTATGATAGATAAAAATGTATCACATTCTGTCAATAGTTAGAGGAATGAACAAATAGCAGAAAAAGCAAAAGAAAGATGTTGCACATGGATGAAAAGGCCGTGGAAAGGTCTAATGCGGAGTGTAAAAAGATAAAAGAATGAGAAAGAAATTGATTTAGAGGGCAACAATGTCAAAGCCATTGGAATAAAATAAAATGTCGTCTCCTAACACAATGCACAAACCTGTCATCTACTCAAACCTGATCATGCAACTTTGGTCCATAAAAGGCCATGTCTTCATTTCCAGCATGAGAATTACATATATGACACAAATGCAACCCTATATTTGTCAGCCTTCAATTTTTCGTACGAGTAACTTTCCAGGTGACCTTCAAATTATTTTAATAGAACTCTCGTATTGAATAAATTAGGACTAATTCTTATGAGTACACTTCATGCTCTTGTCATTTCTCGGTTGTTTCTCTCATCTACTTGAGTATCTTGATCCCAACCAATATTATCAGACACAATCATTCTGGTATGCTGACGGGGAACATGGTATGCCATACACTAAGATGCAAAGGGGTATCTTTATTTACTGAGAAACTGGATCGTGTCAGGAGGTTAGAATTGCAGGATGATTTTTACCTATAGATGAACAAGGAAGATTAGCATCACTGTAATTTACAAGTTGTTCGCTGAAATGTAAAAAATTGGTTTAGAATGTATCCTATAAAAGATTTATACACATTGGGCTCCGAACTAATACTCATTTATTTAATTCTTCTCTAAGCTAGATTCCAAACGGATTCCGCTTGTAATTCTTGATGTTTTGTCATTTAACGGGACTACCAAGAAAAAATCAGAACAACTTCGTAGATCATAAATTTTGTGCTTTGGNTCCGCTTGTAATTCTTGATGTTTTGTCATTTAACGGGACTACCAAGAAAAAATCAGAACAACTTCGTAGATCATAAATTTTGTGCTTTGGCAGTGTATCATGTTTTGTAACGTGTCTTGCAAAACACAAATTGGAATGCTGTTGGTGTTTCTTGCAACTCCAACCCANGGCAGTGTATCATGTTTTGTAACGTGTCTTGCAAAACACAAATTGGAATGCTGTTGATGTTTCTTGTAACTCCAACCGANAAATCAGAACAACTTCGTAGATCATAAATTTTGTGCTTTGGCAGTGTATCATGTTTTGTAACGTGTCTTGCAAAACACAAATTGGAATGCTGTTGGTGTTTCTTGCAACTCCAACCCAGCCCAACCTAAAAAACACAGATCCTCTAAGGGCCCTCAAAATTCTCCCCATAATTAATCTTTAGTAGGTTGCATTGATGTGACAAATGTCTTAAAAACAAACAGCAACTGCTTCAATTTTAATTCTAACTTGTTTGTGAGTTCTTTGAATATGACATATGTGTAACACAATTGACAAGCCTCACATTTGCTTTGGCATACAATGTGGTCACTTAAGGTTTTGATGGTGCAGGGGCTGTTGCTTTGTTGGATTACTTGTCATCCTGGGTCAGTTTGAATAGCATTCTCAGCTCAAGTAACAGACTGATTTGTTTTCCAGAACAACTTAGCCTATCCACCATGTTTACATCATTAGCAAGTTTAAGTATATAAGAAGTCATCTATAAACCATGCCTATGATTTTATATGACTGAAAAAGATAAACCAGATTGTAGTGGGCTTTGGTTCTTTTGTCTGGTGACGTCAATGGCCAAAAACGCAACCTTGAAACATGCTACAGACTGCCTAGGTATGATTACCTAGCTTCCCTTTGTCTTTCTCCTCCTCTACCAAGACGTTTTATCTAGGGCATGACACTGCAATCACTCTCTTTGATAAGAAACACTGCAATGACTTGCTCTTAATTGAATTCATTTTTTCTCTGGCTCTCAATTTGCATTTCCACTTGCCAATTTTTCACTCTAAACAAAACCCATAATTAGTATGACCTGTAAAGAACTCTCAATCGATTAAAAACAAAACCTAATCTTTATAACTCTAAATGCTTCGTTTGATACGATAAAAAAATGGAAACATAGAAAGTTGGAAGGATGGAAAGTTGAAGGGATATATAAAACATCATGTTTGGTAAGAAAAAAAAAATAGGAAAATTGGAAAAATGGACGAATTAACTTTCCTTCCGACTCACCAAAATCAATCCCTCCAAAATTAGGAGAAAAAATGGATAAAAAGTTAATTATGTGCGTTGAAATGCATGTTATTTGTCCATATATTATTTGATATATACATATATCATATTTATCAATTACATATTATATATACATTAATTTCATATATAGATATAATGTTAAATATATATTTATTTTTTTCTAATAAAAATTAAAATAAAAAAATATATATTTTTTCTATCTTATCAAATACAAAAAAAATAAATCCTTCATATTTTCCATCCCTGTCACTAAAAATAAAGGAGAGAAGGAAATTCCTTCCTTCCCTCCCTTAAAAAATGAAAGTGTATCGTTCCACTTTCTATCCCTCCATTTTTCCATCCAGCTTACCAAACGAACCATAAGGGATACTTCCGTACAGTAGAGAACATAGCACATATAGCACCATTTTAGATGAATGACTTTTTGTTTACAATAAAAAGTTCAAACGCATACTCCAGCTAATCTGCATGCCCTTTCTGGCGTGGGTTCTCATTTTCTCCAAGGAAAATACTAATAATCATAGATGCCACTAATCTTTATTAGTGTTAAAAAAATAAAAAATGAGATGGTAGAATTTACCTATTACCTCGTATAGAGAAAGGAAATTATCAGAGGTAACATCCACAGGACAGTCAAACAAACATCTCAGAACACTCAAAAATGTCTCTAGCCTCCAGTGGATTGATATACACTCAAGACATGATTCACTGCAAAAAAAAACAACAGATTCCGAAAAATGAACAATAAATCAATAAGTTTACTAATTATTTTTCACACAAACACACACAAGTCTGATTTTACCCAAAATAATGCGAATTCTACCTAAAGCTTCCACTGAGGAGTCCACGAAAATACGAAGACTGTTCGATAAGCCTGCTAATTTACACCAGAGAATAACAATCACAGTTACTGCTACTTGAAATTCGACTACGAAGTGGAGATTAAAAGCTAAGCTCTTGCCTGTTTCGATTAGCTTTAACTTGGACAGTTTGGTTACTGAGAATAAATAACAAGTCCCAGTTATTGATATCAGCCGTTGAAATGAGAATCTGTTCGTGATCGGGCTCTGGTTCTATATAATTAGGGTCTATACATCTGAGAACCACCATGTCATCGTCGTCGTCAGTGTTCGAAGCCATGGTCGGTCTGAAACTTTGAAGCTGTTGGGTTCAGGAATTCTAGCGCCGTCGTTGTCTGAAACTTAAATGTAAAAGAGAATTTTGCCATTATAGCCTATTTGCATATACCCGAGTCCAGTTTTAAGTGTTCGACTAAAGTCTAAATAATTATTTAAATTTAATACGTTTAGAAAGTCGAACACCAAATTTTATTCGAGTTAAATCCAAATTAACACCTACGTATGCTATCCTAATACTCTTCATTCTTCCGCTCACATAAAAATCATAAATATTTTGGAAGTATTTTAAAAATAAATGAAAACAAAAAAAATTATTTTAAACTATTTTAAAATATTGGTTCAAATATCTGGTAACATTAATAAATATCTTAAAATATTTTAAAATATGAAATTTTAATATTCAAAAACCGATTCATTTTAATTTTAATTTTCATAGAAATGAAAATATTTTGATATTTCTAAGGTAATTTTAAAGGGTAAAGGTTATGGGACACTATTTATAGTATTGTCCCGGAAAATCCGATAAAATTAGAACAACACAAATAAAATTAGTGTAACCCCTGCACAAGAATGACGCATACAAATTAAGACAAGTGACAATGTAACTCTTTGAGTTCCCTTTGTAATTAGTACTCATCGAAACAAATCGAAAGAAAGGAGGAGCAAGCTCAGGATTGATGCCTCTCTCATATTATCATGAATGAGCTAACCGTGTGATTCATTGCATAGCAGTTGAGAAGCAACAAGATTATCATATAACCTTCCCGCAGTAAGACAACACCACAACCAGCCAGATTATCCCTGTGATATCCTAACAACTTGATATGCAACATAAATCACACGTAAAGGACAATCCGGTGCACAAGATTAATTATAACTAGTATTATATTAGTGCAAGAAGGTTGAACATTTGAAACTCTTGAGCTCACCAAGTTGAACAAGTCTGTCCTCCATGTTAGGCCGACTTTCGGAACATTTTGCCAAGTTCTTAATAGACCACCTATATTTCTGGAATTACAAATGACAGCTTTAACGATGTTCTCAGTGAATTTACATTAAAACAGGCGCGTCAACTGCAGTACCTCAAATATAGCTTTCTCTTTGCCGTAAATTAGGGCTTTGCTAGAACAACTCAAACTCCAGGTGCTCCCCTATTGCCTTGAAATCTAGATACTTACTCCCCTTCTCTTGCGAAGCTGTTTTTGGAGCTCCAAAATAACAGGCCTCTGGTACTTGAGGTGGAATTGCACAGCGTATCAGTGCCCAGTTTAGGCCCTCAAAGAATGGATGTTGCTTGATCTCAGCAGCCCCCCTCTCTGATCCTGTGCGATTCTCGGGCTCCTTTACCAACAGTCCTCTGATAAGATCCCTTGCCTGAAGACTGACAAGTGGGGTGTCGGGAAAACTAAGGCTCTGCAACACTACATTGGCTAAAGTTTCTTCATTCCCGAAACCTTTAAAGGGTGTCCTCCCATACAGAAGCTCATAGAGAAAAATACCAAATGTCCACCAATCAACAGCACTGCCATGACCTTCTCCTTTAATGATCTCAGGAGCCAAGTACTCATGTGTACCAACAAAGGAGTTGGACCGTGCATCAGTAGGCTCGGCCACAAGCTGTGGCAATGATCTGACCTGGGCTGCAAGGTCAGCTTTTTGCTTCCTTGTTTTTGCAGCAGCAGGTAAAAACCTAGGGCTGAAGCAGGACACTTTACAGGACGGTTCAATACAAAAAGGATCAATGCAACTAGATCCCGTGCATGGACCCGACATCCTTGCGGGTTCCATACCCAATGAAGATGACTTTAGGAGAGTTGGATTCACAGAACATCTAAGTGAAAGGTCAAAATCTGTAAGCATAATGTGACCATCCTCTCGGACCAGAATGTTTTCTGGTTTCAAATCCCGGTACACAACACCAAGCATATGCAGGTATTCCAGAGCAAGGAGAACTTCGGCAACATAGAATCTGCAAATAAAAGGAGTGAAGTTAGTTTGAAGATTGCATGATAAATAATAAGAAGCAAAAAGTCGACGACCAATGAATCCTTTGTATCGCAAACTTTTCCTGGATTCAGATTCCAGCATCTATTTCAATAATAAAACCAAGGGCAAAGAAAACGAAAAGTCGGTGCGTTGCATTTTTGTTTTGTCCTTCAGAAGTCATTAGCATCGAGAGTTGTTGGATTGATCGTTTGTAAAAGTTTTGGAATTTAGGGAGCTGACTTGGTGATACACGGGCATAGATGTATGTTCAATAAAGAACATCAAAGACAATATTAGGAACTTATGATATATGCGTTTGATTTTGTTGAGCCATAATGGGGCTGAGTTGGCTGACAGTGGTACAAGCAAGATGCTGCAAACATAAAGTTGTGGCCACAGAATTAATATTGCTTGGGTAGAGGTGAAGAGAGAGTATGTGGAGGTAGTATAAAGAAGGTGGTGCAGCAGTAGAGTGAGGCAGGGGCATCGATGCCATCGGTGATGCCATGTTCTCCCTGCACTAGAGGGATAAGCAGCTTGTCACCATATTTTGACAACATCATGGTCAAGTGAGACAACATACGAGCAACAACTCCACATGTGGTTCAAAGACTCCAGGACGTCACCACATCTTTTATAACCAACTTGTTACCCCAATTGTTGTATAGAGATAATTTGCCAAATGAATTCAATAGTGGTGGTTTGACATAGACAGGCTTATAGGTTCTCAACATCACAAGATCCTAATACAAACAACCTAGTTAAAAGTGTCTATATAACCACATATACTTTGCAATGATCTGATTGACTCGATGTCGGCTCTTAACTTTTTCAGACTTCAGATATTACCATAGTAAATATACCTAATTGAATCCAAATCACAAGCATTGCACTTGATTAAACTGGTCTAGAATTGGCAAAAATGGGGGAACTCTACCAAAGTAACAAACATAATACCACCAAACAAAGAAAGGGAAGTAAAGAGAAACTAAACGGCATAACAATTTGCAGTTTACAGGTTTGAATTAGCCAGGCGAATGGTGATACACAAATGATGCTGTTTCACTATTTAATACAAACACCTACACCAGTACGCTGTTTTTATTTATTTCCTATCTTATGTCCATTTAAGTAAAAAAATACTAATCCTTCTAATCAATGATAAGTCAAATATCTGAAACCCAGCCCACTATGCTTTCTTCCTTGTAAATATCTTGCATCCTTGTTCTTTCTTCTTCTTTTAAGTTTTAAAACGTGTCCTACTCTTACCTAATTTAGGGCAGGACACCTTATCCACTTTACATAGGATTTGTAACTTTTCTTTCTTATTATTTTAATAAAAGTTATTGTTTTCCTATTGAAAAAAAAAAGTGTCTTACTCTTCACAACTGAAGCTAATAGATAACCTGGCATGAACAGAATACCTTGCTGCTTGTTCAGGAAAATATCTGCCAAGCTGTTTCTGACGGAGGACATGCAAATCTCCACCAGGACAATACTCCATTACTAAACACGATAGATTATCGGACGTGAACTGGGCAAATAGCGTAGGAAGAAAAGGATGATCAAGCATTCTTAGAATCTCTCTTTCAGTTTGGGCCCTCGGTGTCTTCCTCCTTCTTTCCAGAAACTCGTTATCCATCACCTTAATAGCAAATTGGCAGTTTGTTCCGATTAGTTCTGTAAGATAAACTGTGCCGATGTCACCACAACCGAGCTTCTTTAATAGATTGAAATGACTCAATCCTAGAAATCCATGTTGCTTCGTAACATGATAGATAGCTTCCCACCTCAAATCCTTTGACATATGAGGTCTGTTTCCAAAACTAGACCCACTTAGATAGCTCTCTTCACTGATGCTAGTGCTACTACTATACTCACCAATGCTACTTTTTGAGCTTTGAGAAAATTCACCTTTTTCTTTTGGTTTTGAGGTATTGTTAGTTTTCACAACAACAGGGCTGCTTATGTCACAACCATTTAAAGTGGAGCCTGGTTTGCTTGAGCCATGTTTCCCCTTACTCGAGCTGTTTTCAGCAATGACACTTGCAGAGAGAGGTGTTGGAGAGTCCATTAAGGACTCTTTCCTTGCATCTTTCAAAGTGCAATGACATCTCTGGCATATTAATTGGCTAGTATTGGGATCCAAAACTCCATCATATGTATCAGAAGTACAAGCAACTGAAGATGAATCCTGCTTTGATTTCTTTGTAACGAAATTCTTATTCCTGATGACTGGCTTAACTGCACATCGGGCATTTCTTATTGTCTTGCTCACCTTAGTGCTGTTGATTGCACTAGATGAAGAACCAGCGGACTGCAACCTGCCTTTCCGCCTCAGCCTAGGTGCTGCTTTGTTTGCTGACTTAGATGAGGCAGAAACGTTCTTATTTACATTGCTTGCTAATTTGACTGGGGCAGAAATATTCTCATCTGTGTCTAGCATATTACCACCAGGATAAAGACAAGGTAGAGAATGGAGCGAAGTGTGATTTTCTTCCGGTGCCCTCCCAGTCCTCAATTGTAGATTCCCAATTGCTGTTGATGTAGGTTCAATCTCGTTTTGCATTACTGTAGAGCCCATTCTCTCAGCTGTTGTCTCAAGGGTAAATTGAGGAGAAGATTGGGCACTGAGGTTCGATGGCTTCACCTTGAGTTCTTGAAGATACTGAAGCATCCTCTCAGAAGAATTCAATGTGCTTTCTTCGAGCACCAGAGATGCCTTTGATCGCCTAGTCCCCAATTCAGTTGATTCAGGCACAATCTCATGTTGTCGTAATGGTGTCCCTGAGCTCTTAAATTTTGCCTCAACAGCAAAACGGGGAGAAGAACGGGTGCTGGTGATTGCTGACTTCACCTTTGGTCCCTGAAGGCACTGAGGCATCTTCTCAGAAAAATTTGATGTACTTTCTTCGACCACCAGAGATGCCTTTGATTGCCGAGTCCCAAGTTCAGTTGATGCAGGCACAATCTCATCTTGTTTTAAAGTTGGCCCTGATCTCTTTGATGTTTTCTCAACGGCAAAACGGGGAGAAGAATGGGCACTGTGGTTTGATGACTTCACCTTGGGTTCCAGAAGACACTCAGGCATCTTCTCAGAAGAATCTGATATGCTTTCTTCAATCACCTGAGATGTCTTTGATCCTCGAATCCCAACTTCAGTTAATGCAGGCACAACCTCAATTTGTCTTAATGTTGACCCCGATCTCTTAGCTGTTGTCTCAATGGCAAATCGAGGAGAAGAATTGGTACTGCGGTTTGATGGCTTCACCTTGGGTTCCTGAAGGCACTGAGGCATCCTCTCAGAAGAATCTGATGTGCTTTCTTCGAGCACCAGAGATGCCTTTGATTGCCTACTCCAAATTTCATTTGGTGCAGGCACAATCTCAATTTGTCTTAATGTTGACCCCGATCTTTTAGCCAATGTCTCAAGGGCAAATCGAGTAGAAGAATGGGCACCGAGGTTCGATGGCTTCACCTTGGATTCTAGAAGGCACTGAGGCATCTTCTCTGAAGAATTTGATGTGCTTTCTTCGAGCACCAGAGATGTCTTTGATTGCCAAGTCCCAACTTCAGTTGATGCAGGCATAATCCCATTTTGTCCTAATGTTGACCCCGATCTCCTAGCTGCTGTCTCAATCACAAATCGAGGGGAAGAAGGGGAGCTGTGGTTCAATGACTTCACCTTGGATTCTTGAAGGCACTGAGGGTTCTTCTCAGAAGACTTTGATGTGCGTTCTTCCGGTACTAAAGATATTTCAACTCTACCCTCCTTATCCCCAGCTAAAGGAAGACTAGATCCACCAGCTTCAACTACAACAGATCTGTACATACTTGTAATTTTACCAACTTCCGACAACCTAGGAGACCCAGGTGACTTTGACAACCGTTTCATGGCAGCCATTTCTGCCGCCTGAGAAATACATAGTCCCCTCAAAGCCTGTTTCAAAGACACTGGCTCAGAAAATCCAATTCCTGATGAAGCAGACACACCCACCCTCATTGGTTGCTTTAATGTATTTTTCTTTAAAGAGCCAGTGCCAAACTGATCTGACGGGCTCAGTCCCTTGGATGAAGATTTGAGACTGATAGCCTCAAAAAGCTTATTAATATCATCTTCTAGAGAGCTACTGCTTCCCTTTTTCGGCACAGGAGGCCTCCTCTCTTTGTCATGTGCCCTTAATTGATGAATTCCTTCAGATTGTTCAACTGAACTCCGTTCTTCCTTTGATTCAACAATTTCACAATTGCCAGGAAACGAACCCATCTGTTGGTGTTCCTCCTTGTGCAATGAATTTACATGGACCCAGTATCACAAAAACTAAAACCTATCCTTCCGATCCATCACTCAAGAAACCATTTAAATATCACAGAGTTCGCTGATACTATAACATAGCACTCAAAGTTGAAGCTCTTTTCTACATGTGATCATAAAAACTCCACATTTTGTATGTCCAATCAATCTTTTTTGGTCACCTCAATCATTTGAGAATGCACTGTCCAGAACCTGAAATGCCGAACAAAAATTAGTTAACGTCAGCGAGCCACCTTGCACTGGTTCTCTCTCAATAAATGATGAAAATGTCATGCAAATTAGTAAATCTATAATAAAATATGATCAAAAATTACAATAAACACATGACAACACGAGCAATAACACCAGCACAATGCTATTTATTAGCATATCTGGTCATCGGTAGAGCGCAAGGATCTTAAAATTGTGGTTGTGCATTCAAGCCCCAAATTGGGCATTTTCTCTAGCCAATCCAAAACATGTTGGGACAAGAATTTTGTGGAATTGAGTACCTGTGGTGGGATTCTTTGACAATTTGCTACTCGATTGAGCATACAAGCAAATTCCTCATACTCCAGTATCTACCAGAGTAAGCCAAACATTTCTGATCACAAAATGGCTGATAATGTGGTAACTTATACTGCTGTTTGCTTTGAAACTAAAGTTAAAAAAGAAGAATTTAAAATAAAAATAACTTCAAATTTTGTGCTTGATATTTTCAGTTTTTTTTTTGGGTTTAAAAAAATGGCCGGCTCATTTCAACCAAATCATATGTGGTGCCAACTTCAGTTGATTGGATATTTATCTTTCACAAACAACAAAATAGTTTACTTAAGAATTGGAACAGTAATTTATAAATTTCATTACCACATTCCAAGCCAATCAAAACAAGGTAATGGAATGCATTTTTGCGGCACTCTCAGCCTCACCCCAAGAAATGGACCCTTTATTGTTTCAAGAATTTAGCTCCAAATAACAGAGACATTTTTAAACCATAGATGCCAAATTCAAAGGAAAACAAGATATCCAAGTACAAGGAAGCGATCTACTACACCATATAGTTCAACTCATTAAACTTTCCAAATCGAATTGAAAATAAGAAGACAAGCCCAACTTAAATGCATCACTCGTCCATGAATCAACAACAAATAGAGTTCAAAATGAAATTAGGAACACCCAAAAATAATGTTCTCTTTAAGGTCGCTATGAAAGAAGCAATTATGTTAGATTTTTTACCAAATGTGACAGAATAAACAGAAATTCAAAACAAAAAAAAAATTATAATAACAACTGGAAATGTTTCTTTCTTTTCTTCGTCGTTGTTCAAAAGAAGAATCACTACAATTAGCTCAAAAAAAGAAAAAAACTTTTTAAAAAAATGAAAATGAATAAATGCAGTGAGATGAAGAACAAAAGAAAGAAGTTGACCAGAAGCAGGTGCTATTTCACTCTCAGATCTAGTGCTCAGCTTATACGGCCATGTAGAGCTGTCGAAAACCCTAGCGGTGGAGGGGTTTTGTTTTCTGTTTCTCAGGGGAGCCGGCGGACACCGGACAGAAATGGGAGGAGAGAGAAAGAGAACTTAACACCTATTCATAATCACTTTTTCTCTCTCTTTCTGCGTAAACAATACTAGTATGTACAGTTTCTCTCTTCATTGTATATGAAGAATGGGACCCACATGTAAGCTAGTGGGTCCCATATAAAAGCAGAGTAGGCACATTGATAGCAGTGATTTGAGCCTTTGGATTCTGAATCAAATTATTTATTTATTATTACTGTGTTTTTAAAAAAAAAAAATTAATTAAGGGATAAGAACATCATTACATTATGTTAGAAATTAGTGACATAGTTAGAAAGATTTCACGTGGAAATGAGTATCTTATTCTTAGTCTTTAAACAAATCTTAGGATCCCACAAAAAGAAATCTTAGGTTTTTTATTTGTTGGTATAAGGTTTAATCTCAGGACCACAGCTAGATGTCAACTATACCCATGTCAATTGTCCAGATTTTGATAGAATAAAAATAAAATTTGTATCGTATCTCTAAAATTTATTATTGTTAATTGACATTTTTATAATTTTTGTGGGTCATTTTATAATTAAAAAAAATATCACTTTTGTAGTTATTTTTGCCATTTTTGTAGGTATTTTATCATATTTCTGATTATTTTTATTATTTTTGTGATAATTATTTTTATCATTTTTTTTGGTACCACAACTGTGGTAAAAATGATCACAACAGTGATAAAAGTAACCACAATTGTAATAAATGGAGATATGATACGAAATTTTTTTTTTTTTGGGTACCATAGACAACTCCTTTAATTAGACTTACATTCGTATCTGAATTATCATATCATATTTCTTTGATTAAAATTTAATATAGTAATATTCAATCTAATTATAAATTAATCTAAGTATTTTGGAATTTTATCCATAAATATGTATCTAAAATAAGATAATATTGGCTTGTGTTCAATGAAATAGAGTTGCAATTTGTGGATAATTTATTTGTGTTAATATTTAGTTGAGTCATTCAAAAAACTATCGGATATTCAGATCAAAATTTAAATTAATAGTGGATTTGGGTAGTATTGTTAAAATTAAATAAATCACATTTTTATTTGAGTTTTTCAAATTTGATTCAAATCCTGATCCAAAAAAAAAAATTTGATTCGAATCATTCAATCTAAATACAATAATTTTATATTTTGGTACAAAAAATCTATTCATATCGAAGAAAATCAAGCCACCTGGCCTCTAATATAGGAATGTAGGATTGATTATGGAACACCTCGTAAAAAAACAGATCCAGAAATTAGATTGGGGAATCCAAACAAAAAGGGGTGATCTTTGATACCTTGATTTGAAAGAATATTAACCAAGATTCAAAAAAATAATACAAAATTAAAAAGATCATAATATAATCCTAATCGTCAATCTCTGATTCTCTTGAATTTTGTCAATCAAGAGTATAGGTGATAATTGAGCTGAATTTTGTGAGTTCGAGGTAAATTTGTTGAGCTCGTTTTTTTAAATAATTTTAAAAAATTGTTTAAACTCGACTCGTTTAAAAAATGAGTTGAGCCCAAAATGAGCTAAGCTTGAATTGCTCGACTATTTTACATATAAACAAGACAAGCTTTACGAGTTCGAACTGATCCTTTTAAACTCATTTTTTTAAATGAATTTAAAAAATTATTCAAATTACGAGCGAAGTTCGAATCGAGTCCTATATAAGTTGAATCCGAGGCGAGTCTAATTAGTTGTTCGACTCGATTATCAACCCTAATTAAGAGGTACCGGAGTCCATTATTATTTGTAAAAAATGACTTCTTTATCTCCAATATTTGGGATTCTATTATGTCCTTGTTTACTTTCTCTTCGCTCATCAAAGTTGTACAACAACAATATTAATGACAATTAAATAAAAAATTAATTATAATTTATTTGAATCAAATTACTATTCAATGATAATAAAATACCAGATATGTTCGAACCAATCTTAAAATCATTATTATCAATCATAAAGTGTTGGCCTCAATTCTAGATAACCTCCATCTACAATTAATTCATCAAATTAAATTATTATTTTTAATTTTATGTTTTTAATAACTTTAATACTATATTAAAAAAATAATTTAAGAATATTATAATTGAACTAACGTAGAAATAAACCTTAAAAAAATTAAAATAGAAATTTGAGAAAATGTTACGAATTTTTGTCACACTCAATAATTGGTGACGAAACATAGGTCAGGGCAGCAAGTGCTGAGTGCATGGCAGTACTTGGAAAGATCAAAATTTTTATTTGGCCGTTTCTCTCTTTTGGCTTTTTTCGTAATAAGAATGGATGTCCGGTAGTGTGTCGACCTGGATCGCCATCGCGCCTTGTCAATCAGGTCAAAAAGAAGTTCAAAATATATAATCATATATTATGTTTTTCAAATCATAAAATTGTTTGTGTTTTGATAAGGTAATTCAAGTAATAATAGAAATATAAGATAAATTCAGATATTTTTACTCTAAACCTTGATAATTTTTTTGGGATCAGATAATAAAGAATAAAATATCACAATCCTGACGTGAATAACATGCTTTTAACTAGGAATGACAGTGAACAGGAGAAAAACGAGTATTCGTTTAAATTCATTTCGTTTGGATCGAAGATAAATTATACGTATTAGACAGTAAACGTATACAAAAATATTCATATAAACCGATGCAAAGATGAAAGATGGAATGGACCGAAACTCATCTCATCCCCGCTTCCGCCCCACCCCTCCTTGACCCGCTAAACCTATATATATATAAATAATTAAGTAAAACACACTTTGTTATACATATTGTTTTTGTGAGTTTTTATTGTTTGTTATATATAATGCGTTTTTATCTTTCTTATAAATTCATTTATGAGGTTTTATGATTTTTTAAAAAAAATTTCTTAAAATCATATAAATTAATTATTGTTATAGGCGGGGACAGGGACGAGAATCAAAATTTACCCGTTGGATGGGAACAGGTACAAGGATTAAAATTTCCTACTATCAGGGGTGGATGAATATTTTTGAAGTGGGTACAATAGTGGAGACTACTCTCCCGCCCTCGCCCCCACCCCCGCCCCCTTTAACTAGATCAATGAGAGAATTAGTCAAAGTATACGTAAATTGATCGGGACACACCTGACTGTTAAACCAAAAAAAAAAAAAAATTGTAATTTTAGATCCTCCTTTTCTTTATCATCTAAGACAAGGTTATAATAGAAAAATACTCACCGATTAACATACATAACGTGACAGTGTTATATGGTACTCATATTTAATAAAAATTTATTTCGACACTCATTTGTTAGACACACATTAATTTTTCTCANAAAAAAAAAAATTGTAATTTTAGATCCTCCTTTTCTTTATCATCTAAGACAAGGTTATAATAGAAAAATACTCACCGATTAACATACATAACGTGACAGTGTTATATGGTACTCATATTTAATAAAAAAATTATTTCGACACTCATTTGTTAGACACACATTAATTTTTCTCAAAAAAAAAAATGATGGCAACTTCACAAACGCCAACAATTAATCGTAAATGTTCAATACACTATAGGTGATTTGCATCACGTAATAATATCATAATTCCTGGTGGGCACTAAAAAATTATCTTAGTTATAATGGAGGCAATTTGTTCACTTGGTTAGACTGTTTTTTTTAAAATATGGTTAGACAGTGGAATTTTGATATATTTTAACTCTAATTAGGATAGTTCAAGTGATAACAAAAACGAGTTGTCAATATAGACATCTTAAATTCGAATCTTAACAATTTTTTAGGATCAGGTTATGAAGGATTTATCTCTTATAAATACTGTAAGGCATGTATGGATGGCTTGTCTTTGACCAGATCAAATAAGAGATTAATTGAAATATACGTAAACTATCCTAAATACCCTAGACCGTTTAAAAAAAAAATCATAACCGTTGAAACAAAAAAAAAAANTAACAAAAACGAGTTGTCAATATAGACATCTTAAATTCGAATCTTAACAATTTTTTGGGATCAGGTTATGAAGGATTTATCTCTTATAAATACTGTAAGGCATGTATGGATGACTTGTCTTTGACCAGATCAGATAAGAGATTAATTGAAATATACGTAAACTATCCTAAATACCCTAGACCGTTTAAAAAAAAAAATCATAACCGTTGAAACAAAAAAAAAAAACATCCCTACTGTTAAAAAAAAACTTGATAAAATTTTTATCAAAAATTTTAAAGTTTTTAATTTTTTTGCTGGTTGAAGAAAAGTAGATCCAAAGCAGAGCGGAGAGGTTGGAGTAGATTTGTTAAACAATCTTTTAATAATTTCTTGTTGTGCCTATTTTTTTATTTATTGTTGGATAGGTTGTTAAACACAATTCTCTCTTTGGGTTCGGTGCAGTTATGATACGTCCGAAGTACAAAAATAAATAGGGTAAAAAATACGAACATCCTCGAGTTTTGACAATATTATAGAGACATTCTTTGATAGTTTATAAATAATACGGAGACCATTGAGGTTAGCAGAAAGTGATAATTTCTTCCCAAATTTTTTTATTATTTTTATAATTGTCTTTCTCCAACTTTAGTACCATAAAATATTAATAAAATAANGTGCAGTTATGATACGTCCGAAGTACAAAAATAAATAGGGTAAAAAATACGAACATTCTCGAGTTTTGACAATATTGTAGAGACATTCTTTGATAGTTTATAAATAATACGGAGACCATTGAGGTTAGTAGAAAGTGATGATTTCTTCCCAAATTTTTTTATTATTTTTACAATTGTTTTTCTCCAACTTTAGTACCAAAAAATATTAATAAAATAAAAAAAATAATTTAGTACCCAAAAAATTAATATAATTTAGGACCAAAAAATTTGATATAATTTAGTACCAAAAAAATTGATTAAATGAATTTTAATATTAATCTGATAACAATAAATATTAATTTGATATTAATTTAACAAAGTTAAATATAAATTGAACAAAATTAAATATCAATCTGAGAAAATCATATATTAATTTATAATTTAAGGTTCATTTCCTATTGAATATTATTTGATGTTGATTAAACAAACATGAAATTGACCTTAAATTATAATTTTTTTGTTGTACATAAACTTAAAAATTTATATTTTAACCCATAAAATTTAAAAACAACTTTTTTTGTAGCATGACGTCGTCCCTCTTACTATATCACTTGATAAACTTTTTTTTTTGTCAAGATTCCACCACGCATACTTAAATCAAATCAATCGTGCACCCTTACTCTTTTTTTTTAAGAGAATTGATCACCTCTACTTGGTAAACTCAAAAACAAGAGTGAAAATATGTGAAAATAAATTAAAAAGTTTACAAAAAATTTAAAGAATTGATAATTTAAAAAAAATTTAATATTCAACACGAAATGAATTTTAGATTATAAAATTAATTCATTTAATTTTGTCAAGTTAATATTCAACTTTATCGAATCAATTTTTATTGTTATCAAATTAATATTGAAATTCATTTATTAATTTTTTGGTGTACTAAATTTTATCAATTTCTTGGGTACTAAATTAAATTTTGTTTGACTTTATTAAATGTCAAGAGTGACCGTATTTTTTACCCAAATAAATAGAATCTCATCAGATTCCTTAATAGTTTTGTTTACAATTCAGATTCAAGTAAGGCATGTCTAATATCGAGTTGGATCGACGCCGCTCGAATAGATTTTGGTATATCAAGAATGTAAATGTTATTGTCGAATAACTTTTATTTGAAAGATGAACAATCTTAAACTTATTTCTAAATAAATCTAGATTGCATGCACTTTCTGAAAATGTAAACATTTGTCGTTTGATTTTATAGTTGATTATACATATTTTGAGATTTTTTGTTAGGAAATTGATTAATTCAGGATTGATCATCAAGTTTATGGCTCAATTTAAAACAAAATTACTTACAAATTGAGCTCGATTTAAGTTTGATTGATCATAAATTTCTATTTGGACAAACTTGAGTAAGAACTTAAACTCGATAGTTAAACCAAGTTTGAGTGATAATGCAGTTACTCATAACCAAGCTGAGTGCGAACATACATAAGCTTGACACGCTAATTAACACCCCGATTGAGGAGCGACCATCTCCCTGAGATTTGGATTTTATATAGTATTCACTATTACACGGTGGCTACAATTATATAAAACCTAGTCCCTTAGACATTTTTTTGTTCACAACAGCCTTCTAAATGTTGTGTTTGATTCGTGCTATTAAACCTTAGAAATAGAATGATCATTCTTTAGTAATATTTATTCTTTTGTTTATTTTGTGAGAATAGAATGGCATTCTCATTCCTAAGGAATAACTAATCCCTTAAATGAGATTAGTCATTCTCAAATAAACCATGGATTACCCAATCGGTAATCAGCCTACATTTATGTCGACGAAATCTGATCGGTCCTCTCTCTATTTCTCATCTCTTCTCCTCTTATCGTTGCTCATCATTCTTATGTTCTTCATCCCCAATCCATATGAAGGAATGGAATGTGCATTATATTCCTACACTTAATCCCAAAACAATATCAAACATTATAATTGTAATCCACATTTCATTCTATTCTCAAACTTATTGCATTCCCACATTCATTTCATTCCCTTCTAAAAATATTATCGCGTACCAAACATAGCAATATTTCACAAATCATTATCCTCCTTCCCTCTCCCCAACCTAATTTATGAATCCGTCTTTGCATGTGATTTCTCGCACAATAGTGAGATAGCATCATTTTGGTTGGCACACAAAATCTCTCTGGTTGAGGAAGGACAAAAACGTGACACTCACAAAGAAATGTTACAAGGAAAGCCAAAGGTGTCTTTGACGACTCCCGTCCTATACTAAAGTCAATTTTTGAGCAGGGAAGAAGACACAATGTAAATGCTGAGTTTGTAGAGCATACCTCTCTCTTTTGTTTATGACCACTACTAATACCTTTTTCGTAGGTGAACAAGACTATCGAGAACATCCAGCTAACCTTTTTTGGTGGGAGGACCATGTTTGGCCCACACCTGGGACAACATGGATGTTTCTTTGATCTAATTAGGTAGATAGGATTCGAATAGAGTGTCTGTTTTACCTCGATCCTCAATCTTTCGCATGCATGTTTATCTAATGCACGTTAATGACATTAACCCTTCGGCATCTTAACTCGAGCCGATCATTAAAATTAACGCTAAGCATTCGCTGTAAGGCTAACATTCGATGTAATAATATATGCTCGTTCAATGTTTTGTGCTGGGAGTTTATTATTCTCCCTCCCTGTCTCTCGAGTAGTTAGTGTCTCTCAGTTGTTTGTCATACGTTCATTGGGAGCATTTATTGTGTTTTCAAGGGCCCTTCTCATGATTGGTTGTAGTGTACTATTCTGTTTAGTCTAATCACGTGGGATGGTGGACCCATGCCTACAGACAACTAGGCATAGATCTTCAGAAGACATTCCTTCATTTACTCCCAGATGAGCACTCCTTTCGATACGGCATTATTCGATGATAACTATCTCTCGTCGCACCGACTGACATAGTCTATGTGCATGATCGATTATTCTTAAACCCCTCGACCTCATTTGTGTCGATGCCCTAGTCCTCTTGATGACCTTATTCAGTTTAGACAAGACAAACTCTACGTTGGCATTCATGATAACGTCGAGAAAGCTCTAATTCCCGTTGGGTTCCATGATGACACCAAGAGGACTCCATCTCCCGAGATTATCCTCCGAGGCCGAGTGAGCCTCATATCATGCCATGCCTTAGGGTCATCATTACTTCAACGGTTGTTGGCAAAAGGCGTCACATGTCTACCACTAATTGGTTTGACAGACCACGTCCTGTCACCGTTTCAACCCATTTGCTCACATATTACTTCCATCAGTCGAATCCCATATGATCAATGTATGAATGGAGTGATTAATCGAATAGTTTTATCCATTACATTTGTTTGTGATTTTAAATGCAAGTGTAGTGTTTAATCTTGTACGGGTAGCCCAGTAACATGAATTTAACTTGGAACAAATTGTAAATACAAATCTATTGGGTTTGATTATCTTTAGTAATATCCAGATTTAACTGATTGTTGATAAATACGATTAGGGGATAATTAAGACCAAATTTCCCCGGGGAGAGGGGGATGGGCTTTAGGGATCTGGGTGCTTTCAACCTCGCTATGGTTGCAAAACAGTTTTGGAGGCTTGCCAAAAATCCAAACTCTTTGGTGCATAAGGTGTTCAAAGCGAAATACTTTCCTTCTACTTCCATTTTCGAGGCTCGGCTGGGTTCTCGTCCCTCCCTTACTTGGAGGAGTATTTTGGAGTCAAGAAACGTGGTGGCTACAGGTTCTCTGTGAAGAATAGGGGATGGTCCAAGTGTTCGAGTTAGTGGGGATAGATGGATTCCCAGGCCTTGGTCCTTTAAAATCATTAGTCCATTAACAAACATGGTTGAGGATCCTTATATAAGCTCCTTAATTGATTTTGAAAACGGTTGCTGCAAGAAAAATATGTTGGAGCAATACTTTCTCCCTTGTGATGTGGAACAAATCCTGGATATGCCAATCTGCGACCACTAACTGGACGATTAATTGGTTTGACATTTAACTAACTCGGGGCACTTTTCGGTTAAAAGTGCATATCACTTAATTATGGAGAGGGGCTACATGGAGGCAAACAAACATATGTGAATGGGGCGAGCAGTAGTGACAGTGTTTAGGCTGGAAACTTCGTATGGTCTCTCGATATTCGTAGCAAAAAAAAAAAATTTTTATGGAGAGTTATCAAGGATATTCTGTCAACTCAATGCAACTTACATCAAAAGCGAATTTCTGTGGATAGAGAATGGCAACTGTTAGGGTCTCCATTTGAAACCAGGGACCATGTCTTCTTGGAGTGCCTAGTGGCTAAGGTGACATGGAATTGCTATGGGTTAGTTCTTAATTTGAATCAAGAGGGTGCCTTGAATGATTGATTGTTGGATTTGCTCAGCTAGCCGAGCGCTGATCAGCAATGTTTGGGTGCGGTTCTGCTTTGGTCATTATGGCTCAATCATAATAGAGTTCGACATGGAGAAAAGCTGACACCCTCTCATCAAATCTCTGATTATGCTCAAGAATTCCTCTCCCAATTTCGACTTGATAAAATTGGGGCTATTAGCGCACAACATTCAGAATAGTTGACTTCAGTTCGTGGAAAATGGATTGTTATGTTTGAGTCGGAGGGTGTCTCCGGGATAGGTGTGTAGTTGTTAGAGACTGGAATGAGTCCTTTATTATGGATCTCTCTCAAAGACTTCAAGGCAAATTGAAACCTGATCTAGTTGAGGCCATAGCAGCAACAACAGTGACCAAATTGGTCATTGATTCGGGTTATACGAAAATTATGCTGAAAGGGGATTCCAAAGTTGTAATTGATGCTTTGAAGTGTGGGACGTCGAACTTGTCTATTGTTAGTACGTTCACTGACCAACTCCGGAGCACTGCGAATGGCTTTGAAGAATATGCAATCTCTTGGACTCGAGGAGAGAAGAAAACGAAATGACAAATTATATTGCTAAACATGCAAAAAATTGTATTACTCCTTGTCTTTGGGGAGAAGAGTGCTCTCCCTTTGTAATTCACCTCATTCAACGTGATATAGTCAGCTTATAATCTATATCTATATTTATACTACTTATAAATGTCAGTATTTGCAAAAAAAATTTGATTTTCTATTTTATCCATAATTATTATAATAAGGTCAATTATACCCTCTTATATATTTTATTTTTTATATATATTTAACTTTCAACTTATTTTAGACTTTTTTATAAGAATTTTTAAATTCTTTTGAACTTATTTATTAGTAATATAATTATATACAGTTATCTATATCTATATGATCTATTGTCAGATATATGTTATATTTTATTTTTTGGTATGTAATAAAATAATAATACTATAAAAGTCATCTAATCAATCTATTTAACAAAATAAAAATTATTAATTCTATAATATAATTAGATGTGCAAATATTTAAAAGGGTCTAACAGATACCTAAATAAATGACAGATTAGTTGCTTAAAAATTTATAGAATAAATCAATAATTAAATTTAGTAATAATTAAAATATGAATTAATTATTTGACACCTAATTTATTATTTGATTTAATTACATATATAACTTATATTTTTTAGAAAAAAAATATTATTTAAATTTATTTACGTGCAATGCACGTCATATATTGCTAATCAATAAAAATATACCGTTTCTATCAACAACCAAAAAAAAAAAGTTAGTTAAATTTAGTCTATTGAAGCGGGTCCACCATGCCCACTCCATATCGTGGTAAAAAAATGCATAGTGTGTGGCTTACAAGTTAAAATAATGATGGAGTTCATAATTTGGCAATTTGCAACAGAAAGCAAGATTGATCTTTTAATTATGAATTAGTGGTGGGTAAGAATGCAAATGCTCCAACCTTTTAAAAAAGAGAGCGTCAAGGAGGGCTGCACCTCCTTCATCCATAAACAAAGTGCCAAGATCTCTTCATTAGCTGGTAGAAGAATCTGCTCCAATCAATTTTTTTTAAGAAACAAATTGAGAGGAAATTTAATTTGATTTGACAATGTCGGGTTGAAAAATATAAACAATGATCGATAAGTTTTTTAGCAAAGTTTGGTGCAAAACTATTGACATTGATTATAAGTTGGTGCAAAAAAATAATGCACCCATATGCCCCACACTATAATAACTTATGGACTCCATATTTACTAAATTATTTAGTCCTTACCCAAAAAAAATAAAGGAAAATAGATCCTATTAGTAATTCTTCGGCTCTAGTTTATGTGGATGTTCTTCATCCTTATCACTTGCCATCACTTCCACAACTTTTGTAACAAAAATCCAAAATATTTTTTTTTTTAAAATGACCTTTAAAACATGAGTATAATCGTGAAGAAAAAACAGTGTCATTTTTTAACATACATGAGGAATTGTCTACGGTACGGGAAAAAAATTCAATACTATATCTTTATTTATCACATTTATGAATTTTTTTGTCATTATTGTGGATATTTTTATTACTGTTGTCTTATCGAAAAAAATTTTAAAAATAATTACCATAACAGTAATAAAAATACAGGCAAAAGTAATAAATCATCCATAAAAAATGATAAATTCTTTAGTTATAAAATAATTTATAAAAATTATAAAAAAAACACTCATTGAAATAATAAATTTTAAAAATATAATATCGTAGTCAAGTCTCATACGCGCAGAGGGACGACTAGAGCTATAAGCTATAAAAATTGTTTAGAAATTTACAATATTTATTTCAAGTAACTTTATAATTATAAATTTATTATTTTTTGTTAATTTTGTAACAATTGGAGAAATAATAAATAGGTGAATTTTTGTTTTACATTACTATAAATAATCGAGAATTATTTTAAGGAAAATTATATGGGGGGGGGGG